TATGAATATTATTGTGCTATCATAAATCACTAATGTTATTGGTAGTAGTTGGGTATAGCATTTTAGTTTTGCATAGTTGCAATACAAGTTTTATTTATTTGTAACTTATACACTAGGACTTTGAATATTAAAACATAAATTTATTGGAACACTGACATTAAATCTCAATTGAGGATAAGTGCCTACAGAATGGAAGCTGGTCAGTGATAAAGGAAACATTCAATTAAACCTGTAGACACTGATCAAATTTATTTTTAAAATGGAAGAAACTCTTGCACAGGGAAGCATGAAAATTGAGCCAGGCATTTGGAATTGGGTCGTGCATAAGGAGCAAAAATTCAAATTTCATATATTTCAGAGTTAGGAGAGAAATAATGTGGAGGATCTGTCGGGGAGAATTAGAAAGTGGCTTTGAGAAACAGAGGTTTTATTTTAGGTTTCTAGATTTGTCTGAGCAGAGATGCTAGGAAAAGTTATACTCTGCAGAAAGTAGAGGAATAAACATTGAATTTGGTATCAGCAGCTTAGGAGTCCACATGCATAGGTCCTATTCACATGAACAGTTGGAACATAATTTCTGTATCTCTATTTCCTTTTAAATAAAAATTGGAATGTTGGAAATCACATTAAGAAAACAAAAATGGAAGCAAAGATAAGATGGTAGGGCTGCAGCCAGAGGCAATGGATGAAGAAATGACAGTCCGATTAATGTTCCAACAGCCCTGTTTACACACCCTATCCTTCTGCTCAGTCATCTGTAGATCTCTCCTTGTGCAAAGAATCAAGTGTCAACTCAACATCTTTGTCTTGAAAGACTAAACTCTGGTCCAAGTTTAATGTTCAATTTTAATATTTCTTTAAATACATGAATTTATTCAAATTCTGATCAATTGTGAAATCCATTTTACTGTTTTCTCTGTTTCATGCCAACCTGTCCTATCAAATATAGAACTAATCTGTTGCTAAGTTCCCCAGATGCTTACCTCTTCATTTATGACTTTAGCACTTAATCAAGCACTACATAAACTTCTGTTATTTATTTATAGACTTATTGTATGCATGCCTTATTATCCTAGTTAACATGTTTGATTTATTCACCTTATCATTTTCATCATCATTAGTGGCAGGAGCAATAGTGATAGAATAAAATGATACCTTTGATTAGTTGATCACAAAGTATTAGGCATTTTAGATTTATTATTTCTAATTCCTATAACAATCTTTCACAACTAGTAAGTGGCAGGTTGCAAACACATGTCAAGTTGACCCAAAGCTCAACCTCTCCCCACTGGGCAATACAGCCACTATGCAAAGTCACATAATTTAGAACATCCTTGAGATTAAATCCATTGGGATTTCATTAGAAAGAACTGCATTTAAAAAAAACAAAAACAAAAAAAAACCTTTAAGAGTTCATAAGCTTTGACCTAATAATTGTACATCTAGAAATCTATAATGAATGGAGAAAGATATGAAGATAAAAAAATCTCCAACACCAGGTAAATGCATACTTGTAAGGGTGAAAAAAAATGAATATAAAGGTATAAGAATAGGTGAGAATTAATTATAATTCATAAAATATATGTGAGCATTAAAATATACACTTTCAAATAATTTTTAGTTGCATGACAGATACTTGCATGATATAAAAAGTGTGATGCTCATGTATTGAAAATATGACATAATTGATCTTAAAATTATAGAGGCTAGGTGCGGTGGCTCATGCCTATAATTCCAGCACTTTGGGAGGCTGAGTTTGAGGATCACTTGAGGCCAGGAGTTTGAGAACAGCCTGGTCAATATAGTGAGACCTCATCATTAAAAAAAACCCATTATGTTAATTTTTAAAAGTTATAACACATAGATTTAAAAATAGAAACAGAAATACAGGAAAAGCAGAAAGATATATCAAAGTCTTTATAATGGTTATCTTTCAATGATGGGAATATGAATTTATATTATTTTCCACATTTACCTACATTCTTCTACATTTTAAAATGCTTATCTTTTACATTTTCCAAAACAGACATACATCATTTTAGCAATAATTTTTTAAAAGACCAAAAAATACTCTTTAAAAAAAAATCCACAAACTCTTAAAGCCCACATCTGAAAATCTAGACATTCAAGTATGTACATTTTCTTTCAAGAGTATCATTACAGTGTTGTTGACGTTACTCAAAATATGTTTTGCATTTTCTTCGTAGCTTGTGGCATATTTCATAAATGTCTACAATAGTGATTCGTTTTGGCTATTTGAAGTTTGTGTTGTTTGTTTTAATTTTTTGTTTTATTTTTATCAGTTCTGGAAAAAGTCAAGTTGCGTGACTCTTAACGATCTTCCAAAGATGTATTACTAAAGCAAAGAGACATTTTTACAGGTGTTTTAAACATGAGATTCAGTTTGCTGATGGTGGCACTGAAAAGCATTTCTTACTGTGCTGTAGAGGGGGACTATGGATGCTGGTGGCAGTCTCACTTTCCTTGGTGGCTACTGAATGTGTTTGTGTCTCCTTTAGAACCAATAATTTCTAATGAATATTTTCTTGTCTCCTCTACTTCCTCCTTCCTTCCTATCTTCCCCCTCTTCATTATTTTCCCATGCAAATGTACGTGCAATACAGAATATCAGAATAGCACATCCTGTAAAGCACAAAAGCAGTGTTTGTTTCCTGGAAAACCCTCCATACAGCCTAGCTGATTATTAGTCTTCTTATTACTGCTTGATTACTATGATTAAATGATGATACTATACCCTTCCAGTTATAAGGCTTGCCTTTCCCCAGTGGCAATGATGAGTCTGTGCATAAAGATTCATATTTTCTCAGCTGGCACCTCTTCTAACCGACGACCTGCGCTTACGGCAAGGCTACCTGATCTAAGGAACTGCTATCCGTGGTTATAGAGGGTAAACTGAGGCTGTAAACTTATTACCTTTGGGAGACCTAATGCATCCCAGAAAACACAGATGAAACGATCATTGTAATCATGGAATCAAGAAACACAGTAACGTAGGGTCTGGCCCTAAAATGAATATGGTATTTTCAGAATGTACTTGTCTCACTCATGTGAGATAAATGACGTCTTCCAGAGCATGACAGAAGAGTTAATTTACTAATTAATAACATGGAGGCTCTGGAAGTGTGAGCTTCTTAAAGAACAGCGCCACTTATTGTTTTGGGTTTTAACATATTTGATGGAAAATGAAGGTCATAATAATAAATGGATAAAGTAAGCACTCAAATATTTTCTCAATAAATGAGTATATGATTTTGTTTTATGTATACATATAAACATATGGATAGTTGCAAACACACAGGTATCTCGCTTACTCAGAAGTTTTTCTCAGCTATTTATAACAGCAAATACAAAGACCAAGCCATTTAAATGCTCTGAGAAGCAAAATAGATGCCATCAATCCAAATCCTGAAGCTTTTTTACCCGAAAAGGAGGTTGAGCAAGTGAAGGTAACTCCAAATTCAGCATCTGCTCATAATATTTCAAAAATGCATCTTTAGATATGTTAAATCATATTTGCTTTTACATTACTTTAGCAACCTTGGTTACATAATTTATCAGCCCAGCACAGATTAGAATCAACAAATTAGGCAGAGCATGGTGACAGCCTGACAGATCCAAGGCACATTATCAGAAGCAAAAATGAGAACGGAAGGCTCACGTTGATGGAGAAGGAAAAACAAGCAGAAAGGCTTAAATAAGCTTCGTCTAGGGTCATTTAATGCAGGAGAAAAGGCTCTACTGTACCCTGATAGGCCTACTGTATTACAGGTAAAAAATGAAAGAGCTTATGTTTATTATAATCATATTGAGTAATTATCAAAAGTTATACTAAAACATACTGTTCCTTTCATTCATTTCCATGTAACTGACATTTATTCTTAGAAACAACTTATAATTTATATGCTTGATTACCTGCATATAGAAAGGTCTGGGGCATCGTGGGCATTTAGGAAATTAATTGAATGAGGAGACACTCCTATCTTCTGATGTGTTCTCAGCATCCTTGATACCACTACACATAGTAATATGTCGTATTTATTAAACCTTCCATTACAAAGTCTTACCCTGCTTCATTCCATTCCTCAAAATCTCTCTAAAATTATTGTTTTAATTGTTGCTTGATCCATTTTAGTGCGTAATCATAAGCTGCCTTATATTGTTGTTTGATCATTTAAATGTTTCACTTCTGCCTTGTTTGTCTTCTCAGTTGGGCATTCTGAACTCCTAAGAACAGATACTGCTCCCCCTAGGACCCTTCTGTCTTTCATCTCACCTAGCATATAGCCAAAGTACAAAGTAGTTATTTCAACAAATACGTTCACTGAATTTAAAAATACGAAGATTAAATCTTACCAATGCGGTAAGTGAAACTTAAGGCCAAAACTGTTTTCCAACAAATAAGATTACATGCAGTGCCTTAAAACACCACAGTGCGTGGCTTGTTCTCATAGCAGCAGATTGCAAACTCAGCCTGTCTACATTTCCGGGCAATCTGACAACGATTTATTTACTATTTATTGCTAATGATGATTACTTTGAAGATTAGAAAGTGGTTTTTAATATCCAGTGGATACAGATGCCAGGAGCGTTTCATCTTTTATCAGTGTGAAATTGAACTGTATATATATGGTGAATGGAAGTCTGAAAGTATGTCTAATTGTTGGGGATCTTTATATAAATGCAAAGGAAAGATTTATGCTTCTAGTGAAACAATCACCTTCTGCGTCACACAGCTATTCACAATCTGACTGCAGATCCAGATTGTGACTAATATTTGGCTCTAATATTATAGGTGGTTACCGTGGAGAGAATCAGTAAGAGCATAATTGTCATTTCCTTGGAAAAATTTAATCCACAGATGGATCCCAACACCCAATTGCATTCATGTCCAAGACTAATGGGGATTTTTGCTAAATAAGGCCTGATTCAGCCAAAAAAGATAGACTCTGAATACAGAAATCTGTATCATGCATCACTTCAAAAGATGTATTAACTCAAACACTGAAAGCATTGGCACACAGAATTTTCCTAATAGGGACATGATGAAAAGTCATTTATTAATTAAAATACATTTATATTTTCTTTTTTTAAAATGAAGCAATGGGGGTATTCTATGCTACCATGCATTTCCAAAATTTCATTTGCAAAATTTCATCCTTCATACTTCCTTATCTAGCTAATTAAGGTAATGATTCTACTTAGATTGGAAAGTTCTAATTAAAATCATTAATTTTTCCCGAACCTTCTCCTTCAAGAAATAAGCTTTGCTGCACATCCTTCAGTCTTTGGGAGGAGAGAATGTTAGGGGATTGATGCTGATAATTGATGAGAGAGAGCAGAATACATTTATTATGACCTTCCTCCCCCTGCCCAGCTAAATTTATACAGCCAATCATAACCTAATAACTCTGTGTTCCTTTCTTTAAAGATTTTCTTATCGTATGAAACTATTTTGGCCTGTGGTGTATTCATCCTAATTAGAATAGAATACTAAAGCAAAACCATTTCGATCCAAGTTGCATAAAAATGGCATCCCTTTCCGAGTGGTTTTCAAAGAGAGCTCATTACCTGGAACAACAACAGCAAAAGTGTTGCCTCTCTGAATTCACATGGTTTGGAAAATTCTTAGCCATCAACGGATGCACCAACTGAATCATAATAAAGAAGAGAAAATCTATAAGTGATTAATTTCCTTTTTCTATTTAGGCTTAACATGTTTTAAAGGATAATTAAAGTTTTGGCCTGTTTCTTAGAAGTCCAGGAGGAAGCATATTTCAGAAGCTTATTGAACTGAGCGGTAAACTCATTCATTATCCTTTGGTTAATATAGAGTTATCTTGTCTATCCTCAGGTTCTTTTATACAGCCTAGGTTCTTAGACATCCATCTATTTTACAGTGTTAATTCAAGCTGTTTATAAATAACACATGACAATAGATGTTAAAGAAGACCTCCCTTGGGGCAGGTATTATTCCCACGTTCATGGCAACAGAGTTGGTAACAGGACTTGGTGAACAGTATAATCTCAACAAATTAACTGGAACCACATCGCCATTTGGCTATCAGAGCAGCTACACTGAATGAATCATCTCTTGCACACCCTTTTAATTTAAGTACCTTGCTCAGTGCGAAGAAAAAAGGCATACTTGGTGAGGCAGGATTAAGTGCGTATCTGCAAAACCTAAGCAACCGTATTTCACCAGCACCTCCTAGGGGCCACGTGTGGATATGAGGATGGGAGGTGGGGACTCGCACAGAACCTTTCCTTGAATTGTCAGTTTCACCTCTCCTACACACAAAAATCCATCCCGACTGCGCCGTCCACAATACCAGCTAGTTTGCTCAATTAGTTTAGCGACTCAAGGAGGCCTTTCGAAGTTTAAATAAACTGCACAAAAGACACATTTGATCGCTCGAGGAAATAAACATTTAAAACACTCAGTGGAAGGAGACTCCAAAAATATATCCTGTCCTTTAGAAGCAAAGCTTCGTTAGGACACCGAAGTACTCAGAAATAATAGGCACTTACTCTTCGGTTTACACACACACACGGATTAGTTTATAAAGTTCCAGGATCCAGACCCGGGTAACACAAGTTGCTTTTTAGGGGTCTGCGCGCTCTCGCCTGGCTGCTGGGAATGAGGGCTGGGAGGCGCTGAAGCGAGGGCAGATCTGAGTGTCTGTAGGAGTTGCTATTCCAAAAAAATCATTACTCTCTAATTGTTCTGATTTTAGATCAGCAAAGCGTGCCGGGCGGCGGTGGAGAGATTGAGGGCGGACAAGGCGAGAGGGAACGAGCCGTCCACCCTTCAGAGAAGCCTAGGCTCTTTGTAAGTAATTCGCGAACTGTCGGGAGAAGAAACAGCCAAGCGGCGCTGCAGTGACCGCACTTGCGCGCGTCTCAATCCTGGGTGCTCTGTTCGCCCGCCCCAGTCCCTCGCCCCATTGACTCTGCGGCTTCTCCGGGCGCTGCAGCCTCCCCGGGGTACTTTCAAGGGCCGAGGGGCTCCGGCAGAGAGGGAAGGGAGAGCGAGACGTGCCGGGGCCGACGAGCAATCCTGCCCCGGCGGTAAATGTCTCTCTCCGGCGCTGGCATCTCGCAGGCCCCTCGAGGAGCACGCAGGGTAAGCGGCCCCCGAGCGGGGGAACTGGGAAGTGTGTGGGGCTCCAGACGGAGTAGGAAGCTTTGCCCAAGGCCAGGCTGCAATCAGGCAGCCGCAACAGCCGGGCGCGGAGCTTCCCACCTGCTGCTGTCCCAGCTGGGCCGCAACTTCCTCCTCCCCGGCCCGGGCCCGACTCCCCCGGCCGGACTCCGAGGGTGGAGGGGGAGGAGGCGGCGGCAGGTTCCCTCCGCTGGCAACGCCTCGCAGCATCCTCCCCTCCCCGCCGCGGTTCCCGGGGCCGGCCGCGCGGCCAGACGCGCTGCGATTGGCCGGCAGCGGCCGGGGGCGGGGCCAGGAGAGCCGGTGTCGCACAGACAGCCTCAAAAGAGCCCAGGATATTGCAGAGCGCACTGGAGCCCTGGCCAGCGCGCAGCCTTCCCGGCGCCGGCAGGCTGGGTCTTGGGAATTCTGGTTTGCTTTGGCTCACTCGCTTTTTACAAACCACTGGATCTTACATGCCTCTGTACCCCCCACTTCCACTCCATGTCCCCATGCTCCTGCGCCAGCAACAGGTAAGGGCTGCTGTGTTTTCTTCCTTTTCGCTCGCTGCCGGTGTGTCCTGGGGAATGGACTCTGGCCGCCGTCCCCTACCCTACCCTGCCCCGCTGCTCCAGAGGTGCCCAGCTGTCACACTGCTGTAGCGCTCACCCACGCTCCGGAGTCCCAGATCATGCCTATATAGTTTGTGTGCGCACCAGAACATCCCCAGAGCTAAAAATACTGAGACATGCTTGGAACAGTTGAGCAATAGAAACAGATTTCTCTGCAGCATCTGTTTGTGCTCATAACTTCCAGTGCACCAGCTGTAGCGAGATACTGGGTTTGGAGGCAAGGGCGAGAGTGTCTGTGTTCGGTTCTCACTCTAAGGGGAAAAAAAAAAAAAAAAGAAAACGTGGTTGAGGGTTTGGGCGTGCGTCTTGAGCCCTGGTCTTAAACCTTGGCAAATCTTGGGACTTAGCACTATTCTTGATCCTTGGCGGGTTTTTTTGTTTTTTGGTTTTTGTTTTTTTCGTCATTGCTTCAAAGTATAGCCGTGAGTTTCAAACAGAGTGAGTGTCTCAAAGTTGCCTTCCTGAAAGAAGAGCGGGAGCCCGAGTTGAATTTGAGCCTGAGGATCGCAAAACTTTCACATTACATATCACTCTCCCTTAATCAATTTGTTATTTTTAGTAATAATGGTAATACCTGGCTCGAAGACAGTGTGGTTTTAGGGAAGCAAAATAGTCAAAACGACTTGATTCTGCAAAAAGATTGCATCATAGCATGGATTCATCATGACAATTGGAAAAAAAAACAAGGATAGGAAATGGGCAGTTTAATGTCTGTGTCTGGGTAAGGATATCATAGGATGATCACTAGGATAAGGCTGTGCATTCTGACGATTTTCATAAATTCAGATTTTACTTGTTAGGAAATAAGGTGTTATTTGAAAACCTTGGATATGCAGAGAATCCATATTGCATTTTGCCATTTGTTTTCTTTTCACATGAATAATCAATAGGCTGCCAGATTTCCTCTCGCCAATCACTGTTGTGTGTCTGATGTACATTATCGGTACACTTGTTAGCGTTTTCCTGCTCACTTCCAAATGTTTCATTTCTATTTGCCATTATCTGGAAAAAATCCTGGTGCTCAGAAGGGGTAAGAGATGTTAATTGAAGCATGGTGGAAAGGGTGAGGATAAGGTCAAGGCCATTTTACTTAGCTTCCTGCCCTCCTTTCTCATATTTTAATGACACTTTGTTTTTTAATGTTCTTGGTCTCCATAAGAAATATTTGATCTAAACTCTTGTGAATTTTGCTTTTTTTAAAAAAATAAAAGAACACAGTTTTTCTACATCCTTCGGACTCCTCAGTTGCAGAATCTCTGGTTAGCTGTAGCGTCCTTGTATGACTTTTGCGTAGCCTGAAAGATTGAAAAGAGCTACCTGCACAGATTGGATGTTTCAATTTTTTAAGTGTATATTTTTATTTACCAAACATGTCTGTTTTTCAGCATATGCAGGTGCTGAGCAGTGCTACAAGCCAAGTGTCGTTGAGTATAAATGTTAGACATGGGGCTCACGTAGATAGATGGGTATCCCCCCTCCCCTCCCTCTTCCCCCTCCTCCTCCCTTATGTTTATTGAGCTTCTAAGAGGTTGCTTTCCTAGCAGTTGTGCTCACATAGCAACATGTGCCCAGAGCACACTCAGGCTGGTCTATATGGCGTCAGCTGGGAAATAGCTGCTCTAAACACTCATTAGCAGACCTCTCAGCCCAGTACGTTTTCTTTTGCTATCTTTATTTCCTATCCTTAGAAACTTTCTTATTCATTGCACATCATGACCGTGTTTCAGGACACATTTACTCTCATTTGATTTTGTTTTAGTTATTCATAAACCATATTGGAAGTATTACCTCTATAAGTCAAAGCAATTTAGATCCCCCATTTGTACCATGTGATCTCCTTGACCTTACATTTATCCATAGCTCTTTCTGCTTTAACATCTACCTAAGTTTAAAGCGCTGAACTATTTTTTCCATTGCTTATGCTTAATTTTGGCTCAGCCTATAAATAGTCTTAACATGAACAGCACCACATGTAACCTCTCAATTTCCCAAAAATACTTTCTACATCATGGGTTATGGCCTGGATAAAAGTGATTATTTGTGTCCATGAAATTTACATCTAGGCCCTTAAATATTTTGGCTGGAAGGGAAATTTACACATTGTTCATCAAATCAAATTTCAATTCTCTGGATTTGTATCACTTTGTGTTCTCATCTATTCCTAATTGATTGCATCTCAAAACATTATTGTGAATATATGCTTGAAATAAAATTGCATGTAAGCCCTGTTTTTTTAATGATAGCTTTTCCCAGCTTGTTCACGAATTGGTAATTGCTAGTGAGAGAGGACCGGGCAAGGAAGTTTTCTGCTCGCTTAAAGTCGCTCAGGCATGTGGGCAGGTTAACAGTGAAAGCAATTTTTACCATGAAACATTAAGACCGTTACCCCATCAAACCCTGACAGGTTCTAGCTTTTAGCTATGTAATCAGCTCCACAAAAAGTCTGAATACATAGTATATGTGTGTGCACATGCATACACACATAAATCTGTTTTGGGGCATATCTATTTGAAGTGGCAAAAGTTTTCATTTTGCCAAACAAAACAAAACAAACCAAAAAGCAAAACTCCTCTTTTTCTCTTTCCAGGAAGAAATGGTAAAATTTCTAAATGATGCTCCACATGTGGGACAAATTCTGTTATTAGCAATGGAAATAAGACAATAATAGTCTCTCAATACAGACCACTTTCAAGATTCTAAATGTGGAAAGCTATTCATAGGAAGCTGGTATTGTGTGATTTGTGGAATTCAAACAAATGTCCCGGGGTCAGGATTTTTGGAAAGTCCTAATTCAGTCTTTAGATTTCATATGGTTGTTATGTTTTAATCTGGAAGGAGTACAGAAATAAGTCAGAAGAAATTTGACACTGTCTACTCATGGCCCCTAATGGTAACTCACAAGGAAGGATTGTTTTGAATCATGAAAAGGGAATTTCTTGGTGTCAGCTTATAATACAAAGTTCTGAAGTCAATCAGAACTCAAGAATACAAAGCATTCATTAAATGAAGCTCTTCTCCCTTTTTTTTGAAACGTACACCTGCGTTTGGTGGTGTTGCTGTCTCTGTCTGTTTAGAAATGTGAGGCAACTGAGATGAACTAATTACTTGAAAAATGCTGTCCATGTACAGGATCTAGAACCTTGAGGGGTAGGATTCTTGTTTCTTTGGTCCAAGTGCAAACTTCACAGGGGAGCAGACAAAACATTGAAGCAGGTGGAAGGTTAAGAAAGCACAGTAACTTCTTTTTATAAAGTGATTCAAAGGCACTTTCAAACCAAGCATCATTTAGGTGTCAAAAGCTGCCAAAATGTAACACACATTGCAATTTTCATAGATGACTAATCTCAGGAAAAATGTGTTGGGGCACATTCTTGCATAATAACTTGGATAAAGAAGAAGTCAAAAGACAGTAACAAGGCATTTTCAAAGGCAATGCACCTTGCCTCTTTTTAAGGGATCGCACAAAAACAATGTAAATGGATGGCTTGATTTGTTTGCAGCTGGCTTGGCTGAAATCGGTTCTGTTAACTGTGTAATCTTAATGGATTTAGAGGAAAAGAAAAAAATGGAGTCTTCATTATCAGGCATCAACAAATCTCTGACTCCTTTCATGAGTTATTCATTGCCCCCCTTTAATATAGCAGAAGGATTTGGTTGTATGAAAAGTTAAGGATGAGCTTTATTTTTCAGTTCTAACTTATATTCATTTTGTTATCACACATTTGATAAAGGAAGCACCTTAGACTTTCTCTTAGTTTTTTGTTAGTTAGTCAAGGAAAATAGTTTCTTAGGAGTGAGGATGGCAAGTTAAAGTAAATAGATAGTTCTTACCTAGGGAAGAATGAGGCAATTGGAGAAAACTGAGAACTACTATTTGCACATATTAGGTAAAGGTGAGTGCCTTCTCCATAGGAACCTGTAGCAAATAACAGCGCTGGAAATGAAAGTAAGCGGACTAGCATTTATGATCTGTCCTTACACAGTTGTCTCTGTCTGAGAGAACACAGCATTGGACTGACATGAAATGAGTTCCTGCCTTATCTCAATCCGCTAAAGACCTGGTCCTTTGGCACAATGGTGCTTACTTCCTAGCCTGTCATTACACATGACAGCTCCATCTCAGGAGAATTTCAGGACTCTTATTGCTAGGCAACAGAATTGCTCTCTATCCCCCAGAGCAAACCTGCGTCTTCAAAGTCTTCAAGCCAGAATTACCTGCACTAATAGAGACTTAGCAGGCATTTCTGCATAGTGGTTGCTTGAAGTGTGAGAAGTGATGAAGCAAGCCCAAACAGTATCCAGAAACTGGGATCCATTTCAGATGATTATAAGCAATAGGGGCAGTATTCACCATCGTAGGAGGTTTTGTCCACTAGTTCCCTCTGTTTTCAGGATACACTCAATCAAGCCTACTCCAAAATCCATATCACTATTATATTTGTAGGTGGGAATCTGACTTTTGTCCTCTAGCATTTCCTCAGCCTATCCGGTCTGCTAGTTATATCATTTAAACAAAATAGTCTGTCTTCCGATTTCAACCTTGCCATCAGGGGCTCTCATATTCTCCCGTAGTGCACATGCAACTCAGTGAATATCAATACTGCATCCACATGAAGATTTCTAAACATGTCCTCTTTCCAAAAATTTTACAACAAACCTTGGGATCAGACAGTCTTTCATCTGCTTAACAGGGATCGTAGCAGGTGGGGCAGGCCAAAGAAAAGAATAAGAGAAGGGAGAGGTAGACCTGAAAAATAGAATATTCTAGATCCCTGGCCAAAAATAAGGGAAAGGGGACCTGACCTGACATTTTGGTTGAACAACTGTCACAGACAACTCTCCTATGTTTAACGACTTTATGCTTTTAAATAAAAGGTTTACAAAGCATGCTTAGGATACAAAGAAATGTAAAACCTTGTAATTTAATGTGAAGTATACTTATCTTTACCTGATTATGTGTTTTTGTTAGGATGTATTGTCTTAGACAGTAGAATTCTTTAAGAGTGGCTTATTTTGTAATGCACAATCTCTCTTTTCTTGCAGGACATGTTCTCTGGATGTCAGCTGAGTTATTAAAGTAACTCTGCATGTCAGCAGACAGACCTTGGTAGAACCCCGAGGCTCCCAGAGACACCCATCTCTCCTCATTTTTTGTGTGTGTGTGTCTTCACCGAACATTCAAAACTGTTTCTCCAAAGCGTTTTGCAAAAACTCAGACTGTTTTCCAAAGCAGAGGCACTGGAGTCCCCAGCAGAAGCGATGGGCAGTGTGCGAACCAACCGCTACAGCATTGTCTCTTCAGAAGAAGACGGTATGAAGTTGGCCACCATGGCAGTTGCAAATGGCTTTGGGAACGGGAAGAGTAAAGTCCACACCCGACAACAGTGCAGGAGCCGCTTTGTGAAGAAAGATGGTCACTGTAACGTTCAGTTCATCAACGTGGGTGAGAAGGGGCAACGGTACCTCGCAGACATCTTCACCACGTGTGTGGACATTCGCTGGCGGTGGATGCTGGTTATCTTCTGCCTGGCTTTCGTCCTGTCATGGCTGTTTTTTGGCTGTGTGTTTTGGTTGATAGCTCTGCTCCATGGGGACCTGGATGCATCCAAAGAGGGCAAAGCTTGTGTGTCCGAAGTCAACAGCTTCACGGCTGCCTTCCTCTTCTCCATTGAGACCCAGACAACCATAGGCTATGGTTTCAGGTGTGTCACGGATGAATGCCCAATTGCTGTTTTCATGGTGGTGTTCCAGTCAATCGTGGGCTGCATCATTGATGCTTTCATCATTGGTGCAGTCATGGCCAAGATGGCAAAGCCAAAGAAGAGAAATGAGACTCTCGTCTTCAGTCACAATGCTGTGATTGCCATGAGAGATGGCAAGCTGTGTTTGATGTGGCGAGTGGGCAATCTTCGGAAAAGCCACTTGGTGGAAGCTCATGTCCGAGCACAGCTCCTCAAATCCAGAATCACTTCTGAAGGGGAGTATATCCCTCTGGATCAAATAGACATCAATGTTGGGTTTGACAGTGGAATCGATCGTATATTTCTGGTGTC